GCGACCTCTCTCGAGGATTTGTGGGTGCTCAAAGGCAACAGGTTAGCTGACCAGTGGGCCAAAGCGGGAGCCCAGCTGTGGGCCATAGACACGGAGCAGGAGCTTTTTGTTGAAGCCTGCGAGCGTAGAGTCTGTCAGGCTGCGGAGTGGCTCGGCAGATTGCACAGCTGGCTCCATGATAGAGGGTTCGTGGACTCGGTGGGGGTGGGTGGGACCTCGGATCTATCTGAGGAGGTCCGAGCGTTGTGGGAAGGGAGACTGGTAGTCCCTCAAGAGGCCTCGGTGCGGAGTAGCGACCCTGCCCCAGTGTACGGGTTGGTTATCCCCGAGGCCCTTGATATGTACCGAGTTGTGCAGTTGCACGGCTTTAGCGACCCCCACGAGGCGGTTGTGTTTTGCCGAGCTGAGAGGCGTCTCGAAGAAGAGGCTCGGCTCCAGGCTGGCAGGAGTGAAGAGCCCGAAGAGCCCGATTACTAAGTAATCGGGTCGCTGGATGCGAGAGACGATCGTCTAAGGCCCTAATGCCTAATGCCTCCTCCTCCTCCTCCTCCAGCGCGGCGCCCCGCGGGGCCACCGCCGCACCAGAGGGCCCCTGCCGCCCCTCCTGGATGCGGGCGGTGGCGAGGAGCGGGCGGACGCGCCGCTGGCACGCCGTAAGGGCGGGGAAGCCCTCGGCGCCGCCGGTGCCGCCGCGCGCGCGGGCCTTGGGAGTTCGGGGTGTGCTCTGAACCCCCCCGCCTTGCGAGGCGTGCCCCTGCCCGACGCTCACCGTCGGCGCGCAGAGGGCCCATGGTGGACGGCCCTTAACCTCCCCTGCAATCCCATGTTTGGGGAGGGATGGCGCGGGCGGCCATGGGTGCTCGTGACTCGACATCTGGGGCCCTGGCGGTCGTCTGAGTGCAGACAGTCGCCAAGGCCTCTTTGATGATGCTCCATCCAGCCTCCTCCTCCTCCTCCTCCTCCTCCTCCTCCTCCTTTTCCTCCCCCTCCTCCTCCTCCTCCTCCTCCTCCTTTTCCTCCCCCTCCTCCTCCTCGACGGAAGGCGCAGGCTGCTCCAGGGCTCTGCGGACATCGTAGGCGGCGCCGACGCGCTCACGGTGCACCGCGAGCTGCAGCGGCTTCAGAAATGCGGGGACGACGACCTCTGGGCGCTCGACGTGGCGGTCGTCTCAGGCGGCCAGTGGACCCGCCGGCGGCGCGCAGAGGCGAGCCACGCCGCCCCTGCGCACTGTGCCCGCTGCGGCCTGGAGCCTGGCACGCTCTACCACAGAATGTGGAGCTGCACGTGCAACGCTGGCCACGCCGACTCTGAAAAGACTGGGCACTGCCCACCTCTTCCTTCGTGAGCTCGCTGGCCACGAGGCATGGCCTTCGTATTGACTGCGAAGCCTCCCAAGAGTCGAGGATACGACCCCCACCTTTGACCTCGACCTCCCTCCCTCCCACCGTTCCGAACTCGGCAATTTCTCCCGAGCCCCCAGAGGCCCCGACGGGTTCCTCACGCTCTCTGGGGACGGCTCGGGGGGACAGCACTCCTCGGACCCGCGTCGCAGGAGAGTTGGCTCGGGAGCGTGCGCCTTGCAAGCCTTCTGGGCAGGTGGATGGTCTCCTGTCGCACGAATAGCGTGCAGTCTGGGAGGCACCCGACAGACGGTCCCCAGGGGCCGAGCCAACGGCGTTCATCGAGGCCCTCGAACGCTCGCAAGGGCCGCTACGGTACGTAACGGACCACCTCCCGCTCGTACATGGCTGGAGCAGAGGTCGGCATCTGGCTCCGTCGTTCAGTTGTGGAAATGCCGACCTCTGGTTCAGGAGTGGACGAGCTTCGAGGGCTCGCGGCCCGGACCCCCTTCTTGAATGGACCCCCTCCCACCGCGAGCCCGAGGACATCCGAACGCCTCAGGACTTGTGGTGGGCGGTGGGCAACGAATGCGTTGACGAACTCGCCTCCAGGGGTGCGTCCGTCGGCTGGTCTGAATTCGTCCAGAGAGCCCCTGCCACGGACGTGGCGGACACCGAGACCTATATGATCCGACTGCGTGCGAGAAGGGCCTTGGCGGAGTCGATTCGTGCCGACCCGTAGACCGAAACCAGACCCTCGGCCCCCCGCCCCGTTCGAATCCCAGAGCTTGAGCAGGCCAAGAAAGCCTCCCAGCACGATCGGCGTAATTAGGCTCGGCTCGAAATTCCACTGCAGGAGATGCAATTTTTTCGAGAACCGTTCGAGATTCCTCGAGGTGGTCCCGAGGGTGTGTGCCCACGTCGCCCCTCCCCCAGGAATCGCGCCCTCGTGTGGCAGGCGGGTTCTAGGAGGGCAGGTTTTAAACGAGTCCCACGCCTTACAGTAGTGGGGATAATCTAATCTCGTTGATTGCAGTAAGTGCGGGATGTCAGCGTCCACGGATCCCAGGCACCTCTGTAAGCCTTGCGTTGAACCCACCCCCACGGGGAAGCAACATCTGGCGCGGATCGCTCGTGGCCTTCACCCATGTGTGAAAGG